GGGTATAAAACTCATTGGACACCAAAGGAAGTTCCTAAATATCTAAATTGATAATTAAAATAAAGGAATTGGGCATTAATTCTACCTTTCTGGTGTGAATTCTGTTTGAGAGTATATAATAATTGCAGTAGATGAAAAAAGTTATACTCTATAAAACTACTCTAGCCAATAAATCAGCAAATAATGTGCAAGGGATGATGTGTTTTTTAAAAAAATTTTGTCTCCTAATGAAATGTTTGAATCAGCCAGTGTTCATCAATGGATAGTAAAACAATTAAAGGTACAGATGACAGGAAACTTTATAATGGAGGCCAAATTGGTGGAATCCCTTGATCCTAGACTTTCAGCCTCTAAAATTCTGAGTAAAGAACTTTTTTATTATAACAACAACAACAAAAAAGAAACACTATAATGGATTAATGGATTAGACTGTCATCATCTGAGCTCATTGCTCAATTTGAGCATTACTAAAAGTATGTCTCCTGATGGGATGAAATATGAACTAGACAGACCACCCATCTTCAAAATATTGCCAAAATAAAAATTGAATTTGAATTCAACCAAGCCTTTAAATAGAAACTCCAGTCTAGAAATAGAGTGTATAATGGACCAAGTTAAATGACACAATAAGAAGGCAATGTGACAACTTCACAATGGAGGACATAATGTAGGCTAACAGTATTTTCAACAAATCAGTCTACAAATATGTGGGTAGGTGTTGTTCTAAATGAAAGAGACTTAAGATTTTTAAAAATTTTTTGATATAAGTAAAATTATAACCAAATATAATGACTGAACTTGATTAGGATACTTGTTTGAATATTTGAACAAATCAACTATGAAAAGGTTTTCTTGTTTGTTTGTTTGTTTTACAGTTGAGGAAATTTGAGTACAGACTAAGTATTGGTTGTTATACAATTAGCTAATTTTTTAAAGTATAATAACAACTTCATGATTATGTAAAAATTATATTTTTATTTTTGAGATGTTTATTTAAGTGTTTAGGGATTTGCTTTAAATTACTCTAGCCTCCTCCAAAAAATAAATATGGGGCTGGTGTGCATTGGGAAGATAGATGAAACAAACAGCAAAATATTGATAGTAGTGAAGGTTGAGTGATTGGGGGTATGTGAGTTTCTTGAATTTTTAAAATTTTTAGTTGTAGTTTGACACAATACCTTTATTTTATTAATTTATTTTTATTCGATGCTGAGGATTGAACCCGGTGAGTGCTTCACACATGTTAGGCAAGTGCTCTACCACTGAGCTATACCCCCAGCCCTGGATAAAAATTTTTATGATGAACTTTTAAATAGATTAAGAAATATTTATAATTTTAACATTGGACTTATGGAACATCTTCCCCTGGCCACAATTTTTATGGATCACTGAGAGAAGTTTGGTAATCTCATCCTCAAGTTCTCTCAGTATCCTGGAGTGTCATCTGCCTCAGCCAGGAGACAAATTGGTTGAGAATAAGAAAGTCCTTTGTGAATGTCCTGTTCATAAAACTTGAGTTCCAGATGACTTACATCACATAATCCAGATGATTCTCCTTGATAGACAGATATCCATTTCTTTCTGCTTTACTTTTTTTTATGGTTAGAGTTAGATTTAGTTTCAATATAATGTAACTATTACACCCCTAAATAACATTATTGTTTGATGTATAAATGTACCAATCAAATTATGTCCTGAGTTTTCAAGGAACTTCCCAAGAAGTAATTTAGTAAAAATTCTAGCCTTTAACAAAGGGCTAAATCTGTAGTATTCCAAGAAAAACTAGGAAATGGTAACAGGTAAAACTGATCGTAGTGCAGCCATTCAGTTAGGGCTTCTCATTGTCTGCTCTGTCCTCAGAAGCATCCATAGTGCCCTCTCCTTTATATGTGAATGGTCCTCAAATCTTAGGGATATATTAATGGTAAAGAGCATGGGACTTAGAATCAGATCTGAATTGAAAACATGGCTCTGTCACTTATTAGCTATATAACCTTGAGAAATATTCTTTTGAGTTTTAATTTTCTCATTTGTAAAATGGCAAGAGTAATACCTAGACCTCATAGAATTACTGGAGTGATCAATACCTGGCACAGAACAAGCACTCATTAAGTATTAACTACAAAACAGGATGAGAAGGAATGGGTTAAAAGTTCAGGACAAAAACAGAAGAATAATCTTTTTTTGTGTGTGTGTTGCTGGGGATTGAACCCAGGGCTTTGTGCATGTGAGGCAAGCACTCTACCAACTGAGCTACATCCCTAGCCTAGAAAAATCATTTTAATAGAGAAAGAAAACCAGAGGTATAGTCCCCAAATTGTTACTAATGGTTTCATTGGGAGAGATGATGAAATGCATGTCTTTTTTTATATTAAATATTTCTAAAATATTTAAATTTTAAATAATAAACATGTATTACTTTTGAATCAGAAAAAAAATGAAATGCATTGATAAATCACTCTCTTCACTCCCATGACCATCACTTTTTTTGGACTTTTCCAAGCTGGAATTGCAGCCCCCAATCCTCTCAGGCCGTTTTTCCCATTGCCACTACAGCTCACTAAACCTAGTCTCTGGGTGACTCCAAGTGTCCTACAGAATGACATTCAAACTCCTTGAGTAGGGCAGGGAAAGCTTTTCCTAATCTGGTTTCAGCCTTTCTAGCTTTGCATTCTGACTCATCCTAGCCTCCAGCCACACTAGAATTCTTGTCTGTCATTCTCTAAATGCATAAATTCTATTAAAAATGTCATTCTCTTATACATTTTTACCTTCCTTCAGGCTGAAACAGCAGTGAACAAAGTGATCTTAGAAAGCACATGCTAAAGAGGGCAGAACCCCTTGCTGACCTGAGCTTCTATCCTGTATCATCATGGGAGTCTTGTGATCAAGGCACTCCATTTTGGGGCCCATTTGTTATGGAAGTTTAGCATACTGTAACTAATGGATACAATTAATAGATACAAGCATATTTCCCTTTCTGAAAAGGAGAGACATGATTTTCCAGTAAAAATATTTCTTTATATCAAAACCTAAAGTAATTGGTGTACTCTGTATGCTCAATAATGAATAATAACCACACAGTCATATTAATCAAATTGAAAACGTGATAAAGTATATTGGGAGGATAAAGGGAAGAAAATGGAGTAATGGCAGCAAAAAACAAATAGTTTTTTAAATCTGATAATTCAAATTAGAAGACTTATTTGTAACACAGAGGTAAGTGTATGATAAAAAATAATTAACAAAGATGAGAGTCATTGTCTTTGGAAATAGGATTAAAGGATGGAGAAGGAAGAGGCAAAAAACTGCCTTTGTTAAAATATCTGAAGTTTAAACCATGTGTTATGTATTGCTTGGATACAATAGAATGTTTACAAAAGTACAAAGGAGGAATGAAACACAGGTGAGATGGAATATGTATGAAACAGCAGAAATGAGAACAGAATACTATAAAATAAAAAGAGCCATGCTGATTTGAAATGGTATAGAATAAAAAAGAAGGGTAGGGAAAGAAGAAGATAGTCTGTTGTCCCTAGCATCCAGATGTCTAGTGTTTAGAAGTTAGAGTAGCCTCAAATATTTGTAAATGAGTAGATATTATGATCAGGAATTCTGTTTTCTAGCTTGCCTTCAATTTTTTGGCTCCCTTCAAGGCTACACACACACACACACACACACACACACACACACAGAATAATATTTTGTCCTCATGTAGAAGCATATCACCTAGGCAAACACTAGCTACCGAAATAATTCTTTCAGCTATTATTTGAGTTCTCAGAACCTGGATGTACATGTGTATGTAATGAGGGGACTCATGTGAGCAGGAATAGGGCAGGCTGGGAAGCACAAATAGTATTGTAAGATAAAAGAAAGGGAAAAAAGAGAAGCAGTAAATGAAACTATAATGTTAGAAATATAAAGGTGCAAAAGTTTTGCTATAGCCCAAGTAATCTTTCTTTTTTAAATATTTTTTTAGTCGTAGATGGACACAATACCTTTATTTTGTTTATTTTTTTATATGGTGTTGGGGATCGAACCCAGTGCCTCACATATGCTAGGCAAGTGCTCTAACCACTTAGCCACAACCCCAGCCCCAGCCCAAGTAATTTTAAGAGACAAATTATGAAGGGTTACCTCAAGCATGGCAAATACCTATCTTGCAATTCCAAAGGGAACCAACCATATCTCCAGTGAGGCAAATGCTGTGTTCTTTGTTTTTTTTGCGTTTTTCTTTTCCTTTTCTTTTCTGTGTGTGGTGGTGGTGGTGGTGATGGTGCTGGGGAATCAAACCTGGGGTCTCACAAATGTCATGCAAGCTGTCTATACACTGAGCTTCATTCATCTCCAGCATACCATAGTTTTGTTTTTTTTTTTTCTTTCTTTCTTTTTGGTACTGGGGATTGAACACGGGCACTTGACCACTGAGCCACATTCCTAGCCCTATTTTGTATTTTATTTAGAGACAGGGTCTCACTGAGTTGTTTAGTACCTGGCTTTTTGCTGAGGTTGGCTTTGAACTCATGATCGTCCTGCCCTAGGCTCCCCAGCCGCTGGGATTATAGGCATGCACCATCACCCCCAGCCAGTACGTTCTTTTTTGTTTTTTTTTTTTAATATTAATTTTTTAGTTGTAACTGGACACAATATTTTATTTATTTATTTTTATGTGGTGCTGAGGATCGAACCCAGGGCCTCACACTTGCTAGGCGATCGCTCTACCGCTGAATCACAATCCCAGCCCCAGCACATGTACTTTTAACAACTGTTTAAACTCAAACCTATTTTGAAGGAAGCCAGGCACCTACCCTTTGAGGAGCATAAACAGGATATGAGGATGAGCACTAATGTATTCCACAGTGGGACTCCGAGTGCCTATTTGTCTTCTCAGGATGTTGTTAAATATCTGGGTCACATCTTTTTTTCCCTGTTAAAGAAACAAGTCACTGTTAAATTGTACACTTAAAAACGAATGAATTGTATGGTATGTGATATTTGCATATATACCTACAGAGATGTTACCATTTTTTGATCATATGCAGAAACATTAATTTACTTTTTCATTTGTCTTTAACAAATTGTGCTTTCAAACACAAAGCCTGCAAAATGGATGCAGCTCCTTGCCTCAGGAATTGTATGGGGAATTTGAAGTCCATTCCTCACAGTAGGAAATACAATGGCACAGAAGTATAAAAACTAGTAGTGGATATGCTAGAACAGAACTCTTTACACTTTTTTAGCTTTATTCAAGAAGAATATTATGATTAACATTTTTAAATCTTCATAAATAAGGAAAATAGATGAAGAAAAAAATAAAGATTTTAGTAAAATGTAAGTCAAAATCACTTTTTTTTCCTCAGGTCTACTTCCTAAAATTCTTTCTCTTTATTCCTCTTCCACCTTGGTGCTTTACTTCTAGACTAGACAGACAGAAAGAACCATTAAGTTCTAGTTGCCCTAGCTAGAGGAACTACAGCCATTTTAAAGTAGGCTTCTCCAAAAGAATCTCTGGATTGGACCCAAATTTATTATATAGAAAATAAGGACAAGAATTACTTTGCATTCTCTGTCACCATGGCCCTGGTTCTGAGCTTCAACTGTACTAGGAAGGAACTTCTAGTTACTGTATGCATTTTAAAGTCTCCTTACTCTGCAGACTGAACTAGTAAGAAAGAAATTTGGCTGCTTTGTTTTTTCCCTAAAGCTCTTCAATGACTCCCTTTTTCTTAGGAAAAAAGTTCAATGCCCTTCAATCATCTGCCCTTGCCTGCTTCTCCAACCTCATCAACCATCTATCTCTTTCTGATCCTTACATCAGTTTTTATGAAAACCAAATTGCTTCACTGTATATACTCATGCACAGCCTCCCATACTTCTGTACATTTGTTCATGTTCTTGTATTTGTCCTGAACACTTTTACTTCATTTTCCTAGCAAACTGTTAAGATTCAATTCAGATAATCCCAGTAGCTGGGGAGGCTGAGGCAGGAGGATGGCAAGTTCAAAGCCAACCTCTCAGAGAGACCCTAAGCAACTCCTTGAGACCTTGTCTCTAAATAAAATATTTTTTAAAGTGCTGGGGATGTGGCTCCTGGGTTCAATCTCTAGTACCAAAAAAAAAAAAAAAAAAACCTAGCTGGGCATGGTGGCATATGCCTCTCATACCAGCAACTCTGTATGCAGAAGTGGGAGGATTTCAAATTTGAGGTGAGTCTTGGCAATTTAGTGATAGTGAGACCCTGCCTCAAAAAAGGGCAGGGGGGTTAGCTAGTGATGTAGCTCTGTGGTTAAGAGTTCCTGGGTTCAAACACTAGTATTGGAAAAAAAAAAATCAATTCAGGATATTCTCCTCTGGGATAAGTACCTCTGTCTGTGTTGCAGCAACATCCTTTGCTTGCCTTGATCAGTGCCTTCTCTTCATTTGCTGCTTCCATTTTCACTCGCTGTCACTGTCAGAGCAGCAGACCCTTATTAAGTGCTTCATCTATGCCAGGCACTTATTCTAAGAGTTTTATGCGTATCATTCACTCTTCACAGCAATATATATATATATATATATATATTTATAATATATATATGTTATATATTATATATTATAATTGTCAAAATGTACATATTAAAAATAAGGAAACTGAGGACCCAGTGAGGTTGACTTATCCAGAGGCGATGTGGAAGACCCAAAACATTTTCCCAGATTGATGGAGTCCACAGTCCAAGTGCCACAGTCTGGCTGGGCACCACCAGCTTCTGGTGAGCCTCTCAACCCCCACACCTCCCGCTCTTGAGGCCGATTGGCTGGGTCGCCTGGGCAGAGCCAAAAGAGTCCCCCACTGAGCAGCTCCTTGGTCTGAAAGGGCGGGGAAACAGTCCAATGAGCATAGCCTGCAGAGGAGCCAATCAGCTGGCAGCTGGAAGTTTGCTGGGGCCTCAGTGAGCCAATCAGCTGGAAGTTTGCAGGGGCCGTTGTGAGCCAATCAGCTGGAAGTTTGCTGAAGCCTATTCGGCTCTCAACATCAAGTTCTTAACCATCAAACTGAAATGACTCCTCACACTTAACACAATGCATTGAAATTAGTGGGTTTTGTCTCTGACTTTCTCATTGGACTGTTAGCTTTCAAGGCCATATTTCAATGCCCTTTTATAGCCAAGAATGTAGAAGGCACTCAGTAAATACCCATTAGACTAATCATTACTTTAGAGGTGCAGCCATCCATGTATCTCTCTTATCACAATCACAGGCAATTGATTGTGTGTGTGGGTGAGAGGGTTACTGGGATTGAATTCCACGAGCACTGGACCTCTGAACTACATCCCCACCCTTTTTATATTTTTATTTTGAGAAAGGGGCTCACTGAGCTGCCAATGTTGGCCTTGAATTTGTGATCCCCCTACCCCAGCCTCCTGAGTCACTGGGATTATAGGCATGTGCCACCATGCTTGGCCCCTCTTATCTTTTAATCTGACACTTTTTCAATACTAAAGGGACACTTGAAAAACTAAGACCTAAATGAAGACCAATGAGATTATTCAATCAATTACTCATTCTTAAAGTTATTAAAATATGAGTTAGGTGCTGATTAAGAATAGTAAAATATTAAAAATTCTGGGAGGAATTTTTAATATTTTAAAATATTCACCTTATTAATATTAGTTCAGAATAGGTCTTGGACTTTAAACATAAGACTAGAAAATTTTGGAGAAAAATAGAAAACAATTCAATTAGAAAACAATTCTATTAGAAAACAATTCAGTTAGAAAGATATGAAAAGGCATTTCACTAGAAAGGATCTTGACCCTTCAGGAAATGGAAATTGAAACTTCAATGAGCTATCAGAATGGCTAAAATAAAAAATAGTGACAAAGCAAAATGCTGGCAAGAATGAAGAAAAAGCACTTTCATACAATGTAGTGGAAATTTAAATGGTATTGCCAATCTGGAAAACACAGTTTCTTAAAAAAAAAAAAAATGCAACTACCACATCAGTGCAACTTCACTCCTGACATTTATCACAGAGAAATGAAAATACATTCACAAAGAAATCTGGCCATAAATGTTCATAGAACATTACTTAGAATAGCCCAAAGTTGTAAACAACCCAAAATTCTTCAACAGATAAATGGTTAAACAAACAAACTGGTATATCCATACCAAGGACTACCACTCAGCAACAAAAAGGAACAAAATATAGATAAAAACAACAAATCTAGAGGAATTGTGCCAAGTGAAAAAATCCAATTCCAAAAGGTTGTACAGTAGATAAAACAATTTTCTCCCCCAACCCCTCCTTTTTCTCTCTCTCCTCCTGAGGAATCAGGGACTGAGTGTTGATGGGGTGAGAGAGGTAGATATGGATATATACAAAAGGGAAATAGGAGAGATCTTTGTGGTGATGGAAATTTCTGTTTTGTGTTTATCAATGTTTGTATCCTAGTTGTGATACTGTCATACAGTTTTGCAAGATGTTACCACTGGAAAAACTAGGTAAGGTATATGGGACTTCTATGAATTATTTTCACTATTGATGCCAGTCAACAATTACTTCAAAATAAAAAGGTTAATTTTTTTTTAAAAAAGACATTTTTATTCACACGATTTTTTAAATAATAAAATTTGATGTTTTCATACACTGTTGATGAGAATATAATATATTCTAACAATGCCTAATTAGTGTCCTATAATCCCATTTTTGGAAACCTATTCTGACAAAATAATTCTAAATAACAATCCTAAATTAAAAAAAAAAGTTCTAGATACAAAGAACTTTATCACAGCTGTGATAATAGGAACAATTTAATACATTTCAGCTAGGTTAAAAAATTATGATATATTTAATTGGTAGAAATAAGTAACTGGAATATCAGAATGTTGGCAATCATGAAATACGAGAACTATCCACATTGTGTTCACTTTATTTTATGGAAAGAAGTAGAGAGAACTGGAAATAAGGGAGAGGAAGAGAAGGCAAAGAGTGAAATGAAAGAATTGAGGGGGAGAAGAGATAGAAATAAACAGGTAATGGGAAAACAAACTTTATCTTCTTTTAAGATAAAACACTAAACCAAAGTCCAAAATTAAAAAAAAAATTTTTTAGTTGTAGGTGGACACAACACCTTTATTTTATTTATTTATATGTGGTGCTGTGGATCAAACTCAGTACCTCACATGTGCTAGGCACGTGCTCTACCACTGACTATAACCCTAGCCCCAAAGTCCAAATTTTAATAGAATACTTGGAGGTGAATCTTCAATATATAAAGATACTTCAGAATCAGTTGCTCTCATAATTTTTTTTTTAGAGAGGAAGAATTTTTTAATATTTATTTTTTAGTTTTCGGTGAACACACATCTTTATTTTATTTTTATGTGGTGCTGAGGATCGAACCCAGTGCTCTGCACATGCCAGGCGAGCACGCTACCGCTTGAGCCACATCCCCAGCCCCTCTCATAATTTTTAAGTCCTCGAAAATGTTCACATTACAAAACTTCATTTATGCAAATGTTAATGACTATACGTGTATATAAAAGAGGAATAGCTGTGAATATAAATGAATTTTAAAATGAAAGAAATCATCTGTTTTGTTCAAATCTTTCTAGACTCTGCAGTGTAATATTGCAGAATAAATACCAAGCCTCTTTGAAATGTCATAAGAGCATGTTTTTCATACCTCCCAATAAAATGCCACAGGAACATTTCCATAGGGCATTCCAGGGAACAGCAGAATGAAGCTCCACAGAGTTCTATCCAACTTTTACACAAGAGGGAAACATTTTAGTTCATTAGCAAATGTGAGCAGAGGCAAAGGAAGCCCCCTGTGGATAACAAAAACAAGTTCTGCTACCAGAGGAAAGGATCAGAATGGAAAGGATTAGAGAAAGTTGAAATAGGTACAAGATGGAAAATAAGGATCTCTATGTTAAATGTAATCTTTGTAGCTATTCATTCCTAACACTAAGTCTAACTGGATTGAAACCTTAACTATTTCAAAACCAGTCTCTGTGAGGGAAGGAAGGAAAGGAGGGA